AATTTAGCTGCGTACAAATGAAGTGGAAAAAACAAATAAGTGGATCACACCCTTCTCCGGTTGCCAGCGGCGCATATTTTCTTCGTTTGCGAGTTACTCTTGATCCGCATAATGGAAGATGGTTGCAAAAACATGTAGCTCACCAAAAAGCGTCAGGGAAAATACTCCTGGTTTTCTGCCTTCCTGTTGGGGTGGAAATGACTAAAAAACGTTCGACCAGGATGTTAATGGGAACAATATTTCAAACAGAACATTCTATGAGAGTAAATAACATTACGTTTGCCAAATTTATCTTCAATCCACATCTTAGCATGGTTCAATGAAACGACAGCAAACTCATAGGACTAATCAGTCGGTACAGTGAAAAAACACCAGGTGAACACTAATAACCCTTCAAACTAACCCAATTTATTGCAGGTGTGGTTGAATAGTCAAGACGAAGCTTGTATGAACCGCGTTAAGCCAACCACGTTTTTGTGTGTTTACGGGGGGACGAGGTGGTTCAGTGGCTAGAGCGCGAATTTACCGACCGGAAAATCCGTGGCTCGAACCCCATCTCCGCCTCTCGACTTGCCCTGTCTAGGTTTGGGCGACCCGGCAATACCCCAGCCCTCATGCTTCCTTCTGTTGGCATGGCAGTTAGGCACCGATAAGGTGCTACAGCTGAATGATCTCGCGTTTAGATGAAAGAGCTAACGCTCAGGGTTTCCGTTCTGAGATTTTGCTTTACTCTGATCCTAGTGAGCGTATGTAACTGGTTGCTACAAGGGATTTGGACAATACATCACCTTCATGGATTTTGTTTGTCGGGATATTCGTAACGTGATAAAGCCAGACGATGCGCACCCATTCCTTGAGACAGGGGACAACGTACTGACAGCAAGAATTACCGAAATTCTCACCTCGGCCATTGGACACGTTCACGTAGGATTGCGAAAAGCGAAGACCGGCATGAGGTTTGTTCTAATTCTGGACGGCAAGCTTATCGAGTGAAAACAACTGGACTGTCACTACGTAACACTGCAAAACAGCTGCAAGTTACTAAATAAACCAGAAGCATAACTTGCTTGTTGAGGAGAATGGGTTTATAAATCTTCGTGAAAACAAAGATGGTTTCAGCAACTGAGAAAGAGGATGTTGTGTGCGTGGCCAGAAAACAACTCCGTACCTACGCCGGAGATACTAGAACTCTTGGCAGAAGGTGGTACGTAAGTTGGAACACACGGATTTCATAGCCCTCAGTGGCTGGCTAGTAAGATTCAGATCCCATCACGTCAGCTGCGGTCAACTGTTATGTAGTGAAACGAATGACTTATCCGTTGACGCGGTGAGACACCAGAAAACAAAACTGTAATCAACCCAGCTGGACCACTGATCTGATATTGTGTAATTTGGACGAAACCAAACGGGTCTTTTGAACGGCAATAGGCACTAGTCTAGTGATGAAGGGGGAAATTCTTCGAAAGAATGCCTCTGAAACTTATCGAAGCTGTCAGGTTTTCAAAACGAATCAGAATGTATGACACAGATGCGTCACTGAACTTAATGCATATATAACGTAACCTGGATGCTAGGAGGTAAAAATTCGACAAATTCGTTTGTTATATCGTTGCGTGCAAGCAAGTTGGTCATGAATGCAGTACTTGCCTTTAGAAGGCTAATTGGGGTAGATGGCTGTTCTCATCTCTCTAATTTCCAAGCATTACTGTGTGCTTTCTGCACGCATTCACATCCAGGGTACATGATTCACCTGGAAAATAGCCACAAATGGCGAAAGGTCGGGATAACTAGTCTAGGTGATCAGGAATACTGATCAAACCAATGAGTAGATTATTCTTCTACTTACTGCCTAATCCCATTAATTTCGTTGTACAGTACTGAGTCCTTGTGTGTTATTTCAGGATTGTTTCTGCAACGGCTTTCTGTCAGCGCCTCAAAAATCTATCCTGCCTTTCGCACACGTCGGTACGTGAGACGGCTTTCATTTCTCACTGCGCAAGCTGCTTCAATTTGTCCACTTTCAAACGAATGGGATTAAGACATGGGCGTGGCTTTTCAGCTCACATCTACATCTTTCAGGCAAATAAAAAGCTGGCTCGAACGTGATGCATCAGGTACGTGTGTGAGTGCAGAGATGGCGTAGTGCGCAGGGTGCGTTTCAGCCCAACCAGAACTAACTGTTGTGTACCGATTGCTTTCTGATCTCAGGCGTCACGTGCGCGCGTGACGAGGATATGGACTTACCATAAACGATGTCAAAGACCATTGTAAAAATAAACTGAACATGTGATCAGGACAACTGTCTTCGTCCAGTTGCCCTAATGCAATGAAAATGAAACGGACCGCTGCTAAAGCGGAGAGCAAATAATGCATGTAAATTTACTGTTCAATCGGTATACGAGAGCTCTCAAAACTGTCAATCATGAGCTGCACGTTTCAGGTCCAGAACGTTGAAAAAGCCACACTACCCGAATTCTTCTACGGTTACGGGGTGTTTTAATAATGGCGTCAGGACTCTGGTGTGTCCGACCACCGTTTTACCGCGGCCGACCAATAGGGTTACGGGTTTAGTGACTCTCGAATGGCATTTTAAGCCTGCTACTTCGACGTCGTTTCAACATCGTTAACCCTATCTTTTCTACGTGAGGGCAAACACAGTCTATCAGTGGAAGGTTGTCACACTGCCATGACTATGCAAACCGCACTCTTCACACAACATTAAAAGGTAATTTTCACCCTATATTTCCAGTTCATCTACTATCGTTATTAGGTGAGCAAAGCGTATATTACGCCCGTCTATTCCATCTTCCTTTTAATCTCGACATGCAACCACTCGACTCTCGCAACACGCACAAAATCAGATGCCTTATTGGCTCCAATGAGCACCACATTTCTAGGATATCACCGAGAGAGGAGCATTGTAACACAACGCAGCCTCCTTTAACCTGATAAAGGTTTATCGTCCAGATTGTAAGAAAACAGAGAGAAGGACAAAATCATCGGCGTTACTTCACAGCCGGAGAGTGGAAGGAAAAGGCGATTAAAACGGCGCCTTGACGGGCACTGGTGCTATACCAGACACAGAAAGCACATGGTAACGCCGCTGAACAAGCCAAACGAAGGGTGATTATAGAGAACTAATGGGGCGAAACTTATCTACTACACGAAATGGAGGAAAATTTGAAAAAATTCGGTCCCTACTGGTGGACCGACGAGATGTTCTAAAAGTATCGCCTATAGTCCATGGCTGGACTGTTACAGCAACTGCCGCACACAGATGTGTGAAGAACCTACCGTGGCTAAGCTCATTTGAGCTACATCCATCAAACTTTCGATTTCGTATAGTGCCCCGGTTGCTGCTAAAACCAACTGAAATCATTTTGATTTGGAATTTCAAAATAGTAAAAGTAGTTTGTGGCTCAAAAGCGGTGCTAAAATGAGATTATTTGGACAAAAGTGCAAACGGGGTATGGAATCACTTTCGCATTTACACGACCGAAATAAATCTGTTTCTCATACTGGTTAGGTTCAACTGTTTGGTTTCGTTCTTTGTCGCACTAAAGTAACAAGACCAGTAAAGGTACAAGATTACATGGGGTAAGAAAAGCGCATCACAAATTGACACCTACGTCGACTGACAACAATGAGAATTTGGACAATTGTCTTCCGTTGCTCACAACTGAAGATGACATCGCGCCTCGATCAACAAACCAGCGAGTTTCATGTGTTTGGTTAGTTGAAACAACCAGTGACTTCCAACGAGCGACCCAAGGCATCACAGAGTCAATCAGACTACGGCCAGATAACAAGTCAATATATCTGATCATCCAATTAAGCATGCAAACAGCGGCGAGCAATGCTGTTTGAACCAATAAAACGTGAGTCCCTTGGTGTGAACTGTGCCATCTTCGAGCCACTTTTTGGGTATGTAACTGAGTTTTCGTCGAGAGCATCATAACAATAAACGTACTGGCATCAGGGGACATTGGAATAGAGTCGAACCAGACAAACTAGAGTTTGGGGGGTTCCGTTGCATCGATTAATCGAAGTCTGCGCCCAATAATCAAACACTATCTCCCCATTTACTTTGGATCAGACACTTGTAAGCATGCGAATGACACTCACTGCACTCATATGCTACGGATCGATCCTGCCATCAAAAAATATCCACAATCTTCTCAGAAGTTGTTTGTAGCAATCCGGCTTTGGGTTTCTATAATCCCTGTATATCTAGTGGCTGGAACAGCAATAAGCATTTGTACAGTGCGGTTATCAAGATATTTCTTTGTTGTAATGTCACGCCGTTTTACCACTGATTTGTCCTACCTTGCGGGAGCTGATGTACCACTAGGGAAGCCACCAGCCTAATAAAATCGGTATTGCAAGGATCTTTGCTCAGACTAATCGATTAGTCCAAATGTCTTCATCGGTTACCAAACACGTGATTCAGATGGATTACAAGCCAAACCCAAATAGTTCGTTCACACTTAGCTATTGACGATTCAAACACCTGGAGCCCATTTTACGCGTTTGAAATATTTCACGTCAAAAAGTAATTGTACCATGAGCTACCAGCCGTTTTATTGCTCGACTAATACTCAACTTAAATTTTCTCACGAGTTGTTCGGCTGTCATACCCCTAACTCTGACATTATTTTATGCGATGTAGTGCCGTAGGAGTTGTCAGGATTATTCTTCTTGTTGCTATAACCCAAAATAAGTCACGTTTTCCTGAAGGAAACTATGCACAAGGCTGTTGGGAACTCTCCGACAGCCCAGGACCGGTTTGGGACTCATCAGGTAGGCGCAGTCCCCATGCTTCGGTCAACCTTACATTCTACTTGGACCCAAATTGCACCGGATCTGAGAACGAAACTCATTTGTACACCAATTCGGAAAACCCAACTGAAACCCAGCTGGATCTCGTTTAGGATATTCTTCAACTGAAGCTACCGCACAAAGGCGAAGAAATCAAGTTATTTATAACAGGGTGAAAATTTGTTGCAAGGAGTTCATCATGAAAGTCTGACACAGACGGCCAGAAGTTAATAACTGTCGAGTACAAATAAAGGTAGCTTAGTAGTCACCGAACCATGAACGCAAAAAGGACTAGAGTGACAGGACGACTTAGGCTAGAAAACAGGTCTGACAAACAGAGAAAAAGTGGTCAACATAGCGACGAAAAAGCCGGAAGCCATTCCAACGCACAAGCAAACACAAACGTAAGGTGAGAATTCCGATTTAAACATAAACGAATCATTTGTCTACGACACCGAAACATGTGTCTTTAGTGGATGAAGGCAAAGTCAGTGGTTGCAGAAAAAAGTCTCACGAACAGAACGACCAGTATCTTTCCGCCTGTCTAACTGCCAACTGAGAGAGAGAGAGAGACAGAGCATAAACACGAACCACACTGGGACACAATCACACAGATGTGGATGGATACATGTGACAATTGCAAAGAGAACACATGCGTTGCAGTGGCGGGACTAGAGCGAACAAGAACACGCCAACAATTCAAAGAGAAAAGCCAGCTCACCAACACCAACCGCACAGTAATAACAAACGCAAAGGTTGGGGAGAGGACGCTGGTTTGGGGAGATTTGGAAGTGCGGTCACGGGAAGTGTTTCTCTCCACCTATGCGGTGTGTACCGACAGTACTGGTGGTGGCGCATAAGCTACGGTTAATTAACTGCTACATGTGAACCCGTAACACTTATTGGGTGGGCCGTCAAGTGTAGGCAAAAAGAACTGCAAATAAATCAACGAATGGATAAATAAATATATGCACAATTAAGCAAGCAGAGGTGGACGGACAAATAGACAGATATGGTTGTCGGTGTCCGTTTCAAATTGTAATGAGTTCCGCGTAGATGTATCAGTTACGTAACAGACATTGGACAGGATAGTGGAGGTCTTAACTTTACAACAGACAGCTTCCGATATAACAGAAAGATACATTATTCGAGTTACTTAACAGAACCGTTCACTGGGACCATGGAGTACTGGGAGAAGGATGGCTAAACCTATCATTCCAGAAAGCTAAGACGACTTTGCTATTAAAGGAAACATTGGCATCGCCGGTTGTAGTGATGACCATTGGTTTGTTCACTGAGCTGAGTGATCCGGTGGCAAGCGTTTCACTACCAGTGAGTTGTGAGTGGACGTGAATCGAGGTTGAAAATACAAGACATGAGGAGAAAAATTCTAACTAACGCACCGAAATGACCCTTCCACGCACTGCTACAGGTTAGGGACCGCCAAATTTAAGGCCTCGGTCATCAGGCCCACGTAGCAAGAAGAGGAACCCACTATGAAGGTAAGCGAACAAAGGTCACGGCAGGAGAACTGAAGAAGACAAGTCTCAAGACCACCTAGACATCCACCAATCAGAAGACAGGCAACCACAAGCCAATAGGAATGCCCACCCAACGATCGGTCCAGGTCAATCCACGTGAACGGACCCCGTATCAACCTACTCAGGCGCAACAAACACGCACCTCCAACTATAGGGCCCTGACGATGTCATCTCGACTGGCGATGAACCGCTTGCGACCAAACTGCCAGGTCCAGCAAAAAAGACTTTAGATGACCTTAGTGTCCACCGCCGTGTGGATCACAGCATTGTAGGTGGTACGCTCAAACTGACAAATATTTTAGCTTTCCTGTTGCTCTAGCTATGAGATTCTCGAAAATGAGTAAGTTAGGGAACCCAAATGCACATTGATTAAATCCGCCAATGGCCATCTCATCCAGTGCTACTTTGAAACGGTCAGGTCCCATTTATACTTCGAGTGAAATATTGTCTGAAGGACGAAAGAATAATTCAGTCAACGAAAGATAGATAGTACAGGAGTATAAATAGGAAGATCACTCTGTAATTGGAAACTTGCACTTAAACGTTCCTTCAAAGTAAACCATACAATCCAATCACTCCGATCGCTTGGAAGGGGAACGCAGGGACGGAAAGAGTAAAAGAAATCTCTCAACGGCGAATGAATCGCTCACCCTCAAACTCCCTGCTATATGTTTTATAAGTGTCTCAGAAGCGCACACTCCTTGAAGGGAGCGCCCGGGTGACCCGGGATGTTCTAGCAACTATCTAAGAAGTCATTGGACTCGAGTATTGTGCATCGAAAGAGGTTTATTTGCAACCGTAAGCAACCGCCTTGCAATACGACATAGGCAAATGTTTTACCGCAAACAATCGATTGTCAACTAGTCGCATACCGGTGGAAGGGCCATTAACAGCAGGAATTCGGAGTTTACATTTTTGTGTTTGTGTTTTTGTCAAGACAGAGGAAAAA